CCCATAAATATCAAGATGATAAATTGAATATTCTAGGAATTATACATATTACCTCCTTAATGTGCACTTTTTAATAAATAATTTCTGTTACCATAGCAACCAATTGTTACACATTATTGAGACTTGTCATAGTGGTAGGAAATTATAAGTAGATGGCTACCTGTAAATATCAAGATGATTGGCTGCATATTCTAGGAATTATAGATGGCTTTCATTGTACCCCCCTTAAAATCATACCAATGGGGTATAAATCTGCATACCATAGTAACCAGTAAACCAACACTGATGAAACGTTCCATGGTAGCCAAACATAATGATTTGAATAATACCTCTTCATTTCAGGACAAATGGTTATTTATTTTCTTCAAAAATTTGAACACAAATAAAGATTTCTTTGGAAAAATGCCACGTCCCCTTTCTAAATTTATTTGCATTGCCATATAATCATCAGCAATAGATTCCACTGTGAGGATAAGATAAAACAGCAGTTGATTTAATATTATCAAACATACTCTGAATACGTTTTCTAAAATGTTTTCATGGTGATTCTTCCCAATTTCATCAAAATAATATGTGTTTTGTCTCATGGGGTGTCTTACATTTTGACGAAAATGTGTACTTTTTTTAACATATGATCTCCGTTACCATAGCAACCAGTGGATCAACTTTGATGAAACTTGTCATAATGGTAGGACATGATAAGTAGATGATTACCTGTATATATCAAGATGATTTGTTGTATATTCTAGGAATTATATATGGCTATCCCCCTTAAAATTACACCAAGGGGTATAAATCTGCATATTTCCAAAACGCTAAAAACTAGACCCCAATGTTTTCAGATTCAATGAAGAATAATAAACCACAAATAAGCTACATGAAGAGAAATTTGCCATTTTTCAAAACCACTTTTACACCACGCTCATCAAGTATATAATATTAATAACCACCCCACAAATAATTTTGGAAATCAAAGATGTACGATTTTTGCGATTTTTATTTTCGCATGCTGACTTAGTTGCTCGACTTGACTGTTTGGCAATTTTAGAAAATAGACACTACAAGGAATGATATCAATAATATTCTAAAATAGAAACAATCTTTGCTAAGCTTACTCGCTAAATCTGATTGCCCAAAGAAATTATAATATTCGTATGCTATCACAATCATTAATAACCTAGTATGTATTCCATAATATTTTTTCTGAAACTTATTTATTTTCATGTTTTACGTCATCGCCCGATGATAGTGACCAAAAATGATGCAATTTGATTTTCAACTACTAACAAGTCTTAATATAGAACGAAAACGTAAAAATCCCAAGGAATAGCTCTGATACGGGATCTGATACTGAACTTTGGGTGAAGCGGGATCTAGTATGGGATCTGATATGGAATTTTGACTGATTAGTAGTTGCTTTATTTGCAACTTATGTCCTTTGAAGATTTCAAAGCTCTTGGAATTTCAGTTTTCGATGTTTACTTATCATGGCAAAAAGTAGACTTTTATTTTCAAGGAACTTTGTCATGTATAGGTCAATTACTAAGTAACCAATTCGTGTCATTTGGACAAAAAAGAAGTTTTTCTGTGCAAAGTTATACCTTTCCAAACATAATGTGGTTACAATTCACTGTCTGAACACAGGGGCGCAGGTCCTTCATTCTAGTACCCAGTGGTTGCTTAACAATGATGACAAGTTTCAGTGATTTTTACAATTTATTAAAGAGACTCTATACCATAGGTTAGCGCAATCAAGATGCATCCATGTATAAATCAAAGAAAATCAAAATCAAGATAAAAAAAATAAGATTAATACAGATGACCTAATTTCAAGTATACTCCTTCATCACTCAGATTTATTCTATCCAGGTATAACATCGAAATATAGGTAACAGTACTAAAACAATATTTTCTCCAAAACTTAATACCGTAGTGTTACCTAGTTAAACGTTCAGCTGTTTAGAACTACTAATCTACCCATTCGAGTGGGCCACAAAGGGTCATAACAGCTCCACAGGGCAACAGGGCAACAGCTCCCATAAATGCTCGTCTGTATCGATCGTTTGACCTTAATATGACCTTGGCCAAGAAACATTGACTTTGCCTTCAGGTCACTTAATCATGAGTCATAAGGGTTACAGTATCCTTCAAGTAAGTGTCAAACTTTGATCTTGAGATGACCTTGACAAATATAAAGTTGACCTTGACCCTAAGGTCACCTAGTCATGGGTTGCCAAGGATCACAACAGCCCGCCAGGCTCTTAAAACACCCAATATCTAGATATCAATCTTTGATCTTGGTATGACCTCAGGTCACACAGTCATGGGTCGACAAGGGCCACAACAGCCCTAAAGGTACTAACTTAGATACCAACCCTCGACCTGAATCCATAAACATTGACTCTGACCTCAGGTTACTTAATCATTGGTCCTCAAGGGTCACAGCGTACCCAAGGACCAAATATCTAGATATTGACGTATGATCTTGGAATAACCATGACCTCAGGTCACCTGATCACGGGTCGCCAAGGATCAAAGCAGTCCCAAACGCATTAAAACGCCAAGTACCAAGATATTGACCTCTGATCCTGAACTCAGGTCACCAAATCATTGGTCACCAAGGATAAAAGTAGTATATAGCCCTAGGAATCTTAAATTTCAAAATACCTAGATACTACAGTTTGTTTGTTTGTTTGTTTTTAAATATTTTCATTTTGTTTCCGGAATCGATACTTTGTTTCGTTCAGTACATCCAAAAATGATCATTCCCGGGGTATGAGATCGTTGTTTGGGAATTCAATGCCTACTCGAGTTTGAAAAAACGTACTCGAGTAACTATCTTGGACAGGTTCAAACGGTCTAGGAGGAGATTTTGGACAGACAGAGAATGACAGACAGACCAGCATACTTCATACATGCATCTATTAGCTGACCCTATTTGTTCCCTAATAGGTATTAGTGTATAGGGATATTAGTGTTGTGTTTATAGCCCCTAGTGCTTCCTAGTTGCACTAGAGAATATCCTTGAAGATCCAATATAGTGGTACCATAAAAGACCAAAGATAGTTCCTTGAAGGTCCTGTTGGTTCACAGAGGGCCTTCATTTTTCATTGATAGAAACATTAGGTCCAAATGAGACTTTAATGAACAATCCACAGCTCATACAATTATATGTATTTAGCTTCATCTTCATCAAATAATTTACTACAAATAATCAAATTACCGTAAAAATGACCATGTCAGGTGATGATTCCACAGTAGGCACTACGAAAGGCACATACCCTATACTGAAATGAAGTTGACTATCATTTTAATGAGTTACCATGCATAAGTGGGATTGCAGTACAAACTGAGAAAAAAGAGTGGTCGTTCATACGAGGGTTGATCATAAAGTTTTCATAATATCTCTCCGATTTCTTTATTTTTTAATATTTTCCTATGACACTTTCACAGAATGTACAGCATGGAATGTTTTATTGATCCAGCAAATAATATTTAGAATAACAGAGACAAATAAGAAATGGTTGCCATAGTAACTTGAAAATAAGGCACCCGGGGCAAATAAAAAACTAGCTAGAATAGCCCCCACTAACCATGTTTTAATATATAATAAGTTGTCAAATAAGTTATCAAACACATTAAATTGTCAAATAATATGGGCTCTTTACTGTTGTGAACTATTATTATGGTCATGTGAATTGTGTGATCTCATTATGCTTCATTATAAGTGACTGTTAGACCCCATGACTGTTTTGTCAAATATCCCGAGAAAAACTGATTTTGCCCCTTTAGTTCATTTTTAACATGTACAGACCACACACATGGTGTAATTTTGTTGATATCTTAGCAATATATTTGTTTTACATCATGTTTAGTCTGACCAAAGGATCTTACAAACTTAACATAACATTCTATCAGTATGAATTTTATTTTTCTGAAGATATCTGCATCTATTGCATTCTCTTACTCAGTCATTTCTGATCATTAGCTTTGAGTCTCAGACTCTGGTATTACATCTAATGGAGCATGAAAGCACCCCCTTTGACATCACACAATTTACACGATCGTTTTATTTAATTGTTAAAGCACTTTACAACTTATTCAAGTTAACATTTTAGCGCATTTGGTCATTCATGAGAGTTTATCATGTATGTAAACATGGTTTATTAAGCTCATTCTCTCTATTATTTTTATTTGCCCCGGGTGCCTTGATCTCCCGTTACTATGGCAACCGTTTCTTATTTAATATTTCTGTTAAACTAAATTGTTTTGCTGAATTAATAAGACATTCTATGCTGCACATTCTGTGAAAATTTCATAAGATTATATTGAAAAATAAAGAAATTAGAGAGATATTACGAGAACTTTATGATAAACCCTCGTACATCCCAGAATTTGAATTGTGTACTTATATTACGTTTCTTTTTTCAGAATACTTTACGAAAGAGATTTAACAAGTTCGCTCCTCTAAAGTGTAGTTGTAAAAGATATATTATAAATCGTAAATTCTTAACGTATTCCAGATTAGAAACTGCTCCGTCACAGCGGACAAAAATTGTAAACATTATTTTTTTATAAAAAAAATAAAAATACCCAATACATCAATATCTCATTAATACCTTCAGAGTTATGCTGAAAACATATGTAAATATTATCGTGTCACTATATTGTACCATTAAAAAGAAATAAAAGAAATTGTACATTTTGGACTATGATACTCACTCCGGCGCCATTTTCAATAGCTTTTACTCTTAGCGTTGTTTGACTTCAAACAGAAGTTAAAGTTACTCGCAACTAATAATACATTGCATGGAGTAGGTAATTTACTTTGATATAGCGAAACATGTTAGTAAAAAATAAATTGTGTGGATTTCCTAGTATTTCTATGCAAAATAGCACGCTCCGTCACAGCGGACAGATTTTTCGATACCAGCCTGTGTACATATACTGCAAAAAATCATTTCATTACGATCCATGCATTTCTAAAAAGTTATATCAAAATGAAAGTTATTGATGGTTCTTCACCTGCAGAAAAAAGATATCGTATCTTAGGTAAAGCCACATGAAATTGCGAATAGTTAACGATATGATTTACTTTCTATTGCCTATGAAATACGCCTTTGTTCGTCTGGCTTACTTATCATACAAAGTACAATACTGAGTACAATCATCGTATGACACACAGCATATTCATTTACATATCTTCCATTGGGTTGTTTATAACGACTTTCTTAACATATGTTACAGAAGATGATGTGGTAAGCCTTAGTGAAGTTGTTAACCTAGAAGGGCTTTTGAGAAAGAAATTACGAACAGGATCCAGCGTGAAGGTGGAAGGGGATGAACAGGAGGTGGTATCAGCAAGTGATGATGATGCTAGATCTGAATCAGGTATATAGAGTTGCATTGCATAAAGAGTTGCATCTTTGTCGTCCGATGAGATGTATGGTTCATACGTATATTACAAAGAAGTAGGAATTTCGAAAATAAGGAATATACACAGTTTCCCAACAGAGTCTTTTTCAAACTGTCTTTAATTACTACAGTACTTACTGAGTTTATAATACTGTTATGGACAGATGGAGGGATGTTTCGCTAGATGTATCTTCAAGTTAGCAGTTTGGTAATTTGAGATGCCACGTTGCGATGTGCGCTAGATCGCATGACACGAGCTATCTTGGTTTAGATTCGAAATTCAAGATAGATGGTCGCATCATGAAAGCAGAATTATTAGGAATATTTAATATTATTGAAATGTATTTACGACTCCAAGGTTTGTCAAAAGAAACAATAGAATATCATATGGTGGAGCTGCCGGGTATTGTGTCGTTAGAAAGAAACAATAGAATATCAAAATACCATAGTGTCATTTTCTTCTGAAGAAGGTTTTAAACAATACATATGACATCTTCCAAACCAGTCGAATGCTTGAATATCAAGTATCAACACTTGCAAAAAAGGGAATGTCCAATTATATGTTAAACACGTTTCCGGGCATTTATAAACGTTTTCGTTTGGATCATGATTAACCTACATCATAGTCCGTTGTAAGATCTTTTAGACGGAATGCAAAATTCAATAATTAATTTTGTATGACTCAGTTATCGATGAAACTTTTTCAAGTTATAAAATGAGCCGATGTCAATGTACACCTATTACCCTGTGTCAAATATTTGGAAAACATGAACAAAATAGGTCACTTTATAAATAACTTGTGCAAGTAGTACGAATTACATTGAACATCATATCAATGCTTCTTAACGTACTGATATTCTTATTTCAAAAATGCATGTGTTACTGAGTAACACGCAGAGAATATCCCATCCACATTCACAAGTATTTTCAAAAATATTGAGTCATATAGTAAAATGATTAAACAAGTCCTATGGGAACAATGAAGAACTTTCCAATTGTATTAAACATCTTAACACAGTTTACAACTGAAAATGAGAATTGGAAATATTTCCTTATAACCATCAAATGATCATACACAATTTACTTACTAATGGCTGATATGTAAGACTTCTTCGGCAAAATGTGCCCCAAGAACATGTTTTAATTATATCAAATATGTACTTCATTCTTGATGTTTTACATTATATTTTATAACAACGTTCAATTCAAAGTGTCCTATTTTCAACACGCCTTTCAAAATTTAAACATGAATTCATCTCGAGGGATACATTAATGCATGGTATAAATCGCCTAAGGTTACGGAGTGGTACAATAGACAGGCTTTAATACGTATCTTTTCCAGTTCGTCAATTCCATGCATTCTACTATAAACCTCGATCCATTTTAGATATAAATATTCAACCCGGTCCATCTACAGGCCCAGCTGAAGATCCACCCGAGAAAGAAAAAGAAATGATGGCATTGTACGATAAGGAAAAACAATTTGCTGGGGACGAGTATTTATCACCATTAAATCAAACACTGCAGGGAAGCCACGAGGCTGCTGGCGCAACAACAAGCGTGTACGATGTTAGACCAGGCGGAAGTACAACTTATACAGAAAAGTATGAAAAAAAGCTGACTGATCCATGGACAGAAACTAAACACTCGGATGAATATCTCGGTAAATATACAGAGTGATCCAAAAAATGTTAATAACCCAGCCATTCAGCATTGGTTTAAACTCATATTTGACACAATCAAAGATGTGTTCAACGTCCTTTCATTCTTTTTAGTTTTATTGGCCATGGTCTATTTCAAATGACCACGCCAGTCTCGTCTCTGGTGGATAAATGGAACGCATTGGGTGAACTTGTTCTGATTACATGCTTACTGCATAGATAACTTGGGTAATGGATCCTTCTTATCTCTTGTTTCAACTCTCTGATGCTTCTACAGGGACATGCTAGAATTTAATAAGGGGGGGGGGGGTTATATTTGTTTTATAACGAAAGGGGGGGGGGCTTCGTTCAACGGAAACAGTTAAAATGAACCAATCATTAGTGATTTATCAAATAGCTAGTCAAACGGGCGATTTAATGTGTGCACAAAAGTAATGTATAAATAAAATAAAGTGTGGACAATATCTTTGAAATAGCTACGAAAATAAAAGTTTGGGGAATCATATCGAGCTTGTCTCTTAATTTGATTAGCATGTTTTGTAAAATGGCCGTAAAATGATATGATTTGAAGCCTATGCTTGAAGACGGGGTCATTAATATTAAAAGTGTTTTGGTTTCCTTTTTGTCTTACCCTGTAGTTAACCCATAAATTGGCCACAATGATTTATGTTGACTTATCTGCAGCTATGGTTCTAGTCATTTGTCCAGCTATGTGGCAAAATTATGTACCGAGTAGGTACACGTTACTTACTCACAGTTCTCTTATTTTCAAAAATAATGGTTATTAACTTAAAAGAAAGCAAACAAGAACACACGCGTTACATAGTTTTGGACTTTATTCTGTTCTCCGTCTATTGTCAATTGCAATGTACCAAAATGTCACATACTTCACACGGAGCAGTACCTGTTCCAGTGTAAATGAGAATCGGAGTTTCACCGGTTATGAAAGACACGGTCATTTAAAAATGGAATATATATATACAGTGTGTCACAGAACTCCTGGGATTTTTTTGAGGGGAAATATAAGGCATGGATGATTTTTCTTCAAACTAGGTGCACTTATTAAACATACATTGAGGAATAACTGACATGAATTTCAGGCACACATTTTTTATGTTTATGAATTTATTGACATTTGAATGCTACACCACCACAAACCCCGGAGTTGTCAAGTAATTATTGTCGCATTTTGTCAATTTTTACTATAATTCTCAATTTTAAGAGCAATGTTATTTGTATCAGATTAGTCGATCAATTTCCTCATATTCATATAGCACTTTCAAAGAAATGATACATAAAGGTTCATAGAGACCCATATACATCAACGGATAGGATATTTGGTTTGCTGAAGGATCATATGACATGTTCCTGAGGGACTGAAAGAATACCCCAATTCGTTAGGCAAAATGATTTTGCATATTGACAATGCATCGGTGTATTAGTCACTACATTTTTGTGTTGTCTCCACTTTACTTTCTATTCAAACTTCTATTTATATATACAGCTTCATATTTGCCAGATTTTGCACTACAAAACTTTCATTTTTCTGTGGACCTTAAACAAAGATTATTGGGCCAGGTCACTGAAACAGAGCTGGAAGAATTACATCATGTTGTTTCGAACGATACGGGAATGTGTATAAAGAGTAGCTGAAAATACAGCAATTGTCCTTGCCACTAATCTCTCATCTTTTTAAATCTCCTGGGAATGCGTTCAACAATGAAAGAAGAGAGACTGGCTGCTCTAGAACTCTCCCAGAACGCTCTCAGTCGGATATAGAACCTAAATGAATTTCTTTTGTACTAAAACGGTCTGGGATCGATGTGTAATTTCTGTAAAAACGAAATCAGATAAGTCAAGGAAGACTACAAGATCGCCAGAGGTGTACATAAAATTACGATAAAAATCGCACATGACGTCATTTTAGTAAATATAAGAAAAAAGTGACAAATTTTCTCAGTTACAGCTTTCGAGAAATGCAAGTTTTCAAATAAAGTTTACAATCAACAATGATGGACTTACTAATATCTGAGTACCAACCACCATATTAGTTCATAACAGGAATATGCCAGGAAAGGGTCAGTTCGTTTGCATACATTTTAAAAGCTTATTATACGCAATAATGTGTTTGATAATTTTATTGAATTCTATCGATAACATCATGAAGATGATGAAAACAGATGTACTCGTAAAAATAAACAGATAAAGGTACGACGTCATGAGAAATAAGGATTAATATGGGGAGGGGAGGGGAGGTAACAAGGAAGTGTTTTAGAGCAGATTCAAACCATTTTCATTCACACATCATTTGCGTCTAGTTGCCTAAATCCTCAGCTACACCCCTGTATACTTATATGAAAATTACTCTGTAGAGATGCGTTAGGTGAATGTGTATGATCCTATTAACTAATCTACAGAAACGCTGAAATATTTCAATAAAAATGCTATTACAGTAGAGAAGTTGTATAAATATGACCAAAATGTGACGTAAATTGTTTGTGGCGATGTAGAATTCAAATTTATATAAATTCAGAAATATAAAAGATATGTGCCTGAAATTCATGCCTCCGTCCGTCCGTACGTCGTACATCCGTCCGGGGGATAAATCAAATACCATTCGCCCGATTGTGTTCATATTTTGAACACATGTGCCCTATGGGAGTGCAAGTTTTGCTAGAAAGCTGATTTTCAAAATGACCTCTCGTTAAAGAATGGCAGCCATTATAGTGTCGATTTTACAGTAATTTAGGTACTGTATATAAAACCGTAATAGCAATATGTTCTAAATGTAAAAATATAGAACATTGATTAAGGTAGAAATGTAAATATAGAAGAAATACTTGGAAGCAATCTTGAAAAATGCCTGCCTTTGAACGTCATTTTACGATTTTTGCTGTAAAGTAGTTGACCAATTTTGTTCATATTTGATAAGTCAATAATATAAGCATGGCACAATGTCTAATGACATTTTGGGTAGTAGGCGGCCTTTTTAAGAAATGGACGTGTGTGCGATTTTTAAATTTTTTTATATGTGCCTAAAAAGCATATTACTTTTTGACAACTTGGCTAGTGAGCAACCATTTTGAAAATGGTGGCATTTCTGATGGTTGTTATTTTACGATGTTTGCTTTATATTTCGTTTGTAAAAATGCCAGCCATTTCTGTTCGATGGGATTTTCTACACTTTGACGTTGCTGTTGTCTAGTTCCTCAATGTACAGTATGTTTAATTTAGTGCACAAAAGAATGAAAATCGTCCATGCCTTATATCTCCCTCAAAAAATTTTCATGAGTTCTGGTACACCCTGAAGTTTAAGTTTGAAATATTTTATTTCTGTGTCTCATGTTTAAAAACATTTCATTACATATATTAAATACTTTTCTTAAAAAACTAACAGCCGGCATTGGCTAAGAGTACACTGTATGTTAAAATTTGAAGAGTAGTATACAAGTGCTGCCATCTTTAAATGAAATAACAAATATTTTGCTATCTAATGGCCATTTTCATAATAAATGATCAAACCATAAAAAAGTATCCCTAAGGAGCTGACAGTGTGGACATGTTATCAAGAAGTGAATTTCATTCTTTACTCCATCTAAGTTACATAGTTTGCAAGTTCTCTGGCCCAGAAAATGAATTGAAAATGTTCGAAAGTAAAAGAAAAATATACTTACCTTGCGTGTTTGCAAAGGTAATTATAAACTGAGTAAAACTCGGATTATGGGGACTGGTTATGCTCATTTACACTGGAACAGCTACTCTCCGTGCTTCAGCTGTATAGTTTCAATTAAAAATCAACCATTCCTCGTTTTATACATATTTCTAATAATACATATTTCTAAAAGCTATGATCCCAATCCTAAATAATCCTCAATTATTTTCAATCAACAATGACGTTTAATAAACACAATTGACAGTAGAATGTATGTTTATAGAACATAATAAATCTTCAATCAGCACACTTAAGTGTAAGACATTACGATTGCCTCGAGCAAAATCTCGCCAACTTCGATTCACATTACTAATGAACAATACATTTTTTCAGCTGCTCAGCCTGACACAAGTGATGAAGAGGATGACATAGCTGCCGTAGAACTAGAGGGTGATGAACTCAACTGTCCTATTTGTATGAAGCGGCTAAAGGAGCCCAAGTTGACACCTTGCGGCCATACCATGTGTTGCCGATGTCTAGATAATTGGGCTATTGAAAAAGGCAGAGAAAAGTGTCCTTGTCCTGTATGTAAACAACAAATCAATATGCCGGGAGGGGGAGCGAGAGAATTAAAAGGGAATTATGCATTATCTGGAGTTTTAGAAAGTATAAAACATAAATCGAAGAAAACTCCTGGAAAAGTGAAGAAAACTCGAAAACCCGTTAATACTTGCACAGACCATCCTGATGAACCTCTGAAGTTCTATTGTATACGCTGTCGTGAGGTCGTTTGCAGAGACTGCATTGTTACCACTCACGAGGGACATAAGCCTGTTGGACTTAAACAAGGTCTTGTCCAAACATCAGAACAAAGAGAGTTAACATTACAAAGAATAATTACAAACAATAATAGATTTCAAGAGCATCTTGATAATAAAGCAGCAATAGTGAAGGAAAAAGTTCAATCTGCAAAACAAGTTCAAACCAACGCAGTCAATACGCAATACGAACATGAATTAAAAGAAGTAACGTCTACAGATGATATCAAAACAACTAAATACAATCAAATAGAAAGTATTACAAAACAGCACGATGAGAACATAGTCGCAGTCGACAATATACAGGAGGGCAATATTAGAAAGATCAAAGCGCATAATGATCAACTTCAGTCAGAAATAACCCTAACACAAGGTATACTCCAACAACTCAACTCTAATCAACAGTTTGAAAACCCAGACGACAGTATACGATTTTTACAAGAACTGGCCGAGAAAGTACAAGAATGGAAGAAAACACCAATAGCTGACATTAGACAAGAACTAGCCATTCCACAGTATGTTGATGGTGATTCTACAGTGGCAGGTCTACAGCTCGGTTACATATTATCCACGAGGAAT